CCCCAAAACCCCAAAACCCCACATGCAAAATATCTTTAGATATTTTAAAATAAAAAATTAATAAATTATTCAAATTACTAAGAATAATTCACAATTTCTTTTTAATCCAAAAATCAAGAGACTCTTCAAACTTCTAAATTAATTGCTTAGCATCAATGTCCACTCTATCCATATTAGCACTAATTCTAAATATTCCATTGTGTGATAAAATATTGATTGCAGCTATTAAGCCATGAAATCCTCCTCTAAAATGCATTCTCTTTGTTTAGACTCCTCCTATTATGTATGGTTTTGAGGGACCGCAGATGTTTGATATGTTTCTTCTTATGAATTACATTAATTAAGGTCCTACTAATGATTGAATGTATGGTGGCAATAAATAGCCTAGAAATCTCGCTCCCATCACTATTGACCAAGCATAATTTATTTTCTTTAACCCATCAAATATTTGCTTATTTTTCCTCAATGTTTACTCAAATTCATTATCTCTATTAGATAGATCTTCTAAATATTGTGGCACAATGAGAAAAGTCTCAGGTAGAATTTGTACATTAAATAATGATAAATTTTTCTTTGATCTTATAGGTTCTCTTAGGTTTATAGGAATGCAGCATTTATAATGTTAGGGAATAGCAAGCTTATTATCTTTAAGATACTAGGCATAGGCCTCAAGATATACTGTACAAATGATGTCGTTTATTGTACATTAAAACATCCTACTAAGGTTTTTTATAGTTTATAAGTCGTAGTCTTTACAAATTGCAAACTAAGGGGGATTATCTCTCTCATCAAATACCTCAGTATCCTAAGTAGTTGATGGTTTAGACATAAGTGTGTAATAGGGGAATATAAGGCAACTTATAAGTTCTTAGAGCTTTTAAGATGATGTTTTAATATTTTGTAAAGGTTGATTATTGACTTAAAACTTGTCTTACAAACAATTCAAAAGATTGAATGAGGCTATTCCGTCTGCTATTCCATGATTTATATGCATAATTATTGCAGATGAATTAGGCTAATAATCTTTGATCAAGTACAGAGTGAACTGAAGTTTCTCATTCGGAATGCTTTTATATGATATCTTATTTGTAAATTCAAGCAGCTCGTCTTTTGTGTGTATTTTATCCTGAACATTTACAAATGCTTGAGCCCAATATTTTTGCAACTCATCTCCCTTATATTCCTTGAGGTATATATTATTTAGAAATTTCACCACTCTAGATCTCAACTCAGGTATACCTTCACTATTCCTGAAAAATTATTCAGAAATGCTTTGTAATGATTCTACTTGCCCATCGGTTTCAATGTTGAGAATTACCATTAAATTTCCAAGTGTTAGTTCTAATGTGTCTATACCCTCATTTACTTTTTGCAAGCCAAAAATATGCAAAAGTATGAATTATACTGCTTAGTCGCACATCAAGTAAATTGGAATTGCAATTATCCAAGAAGTAAGACCAGCTAAGTAAATGAAAGCATAGATTTTGAGAAGAGTTGTGATGATTTAGATTAACAACATTTGAAGATATATAATCAAGTATAACAATACAAATTTTTCAATTCAATTACAAGTTAAATATTTCTTTGATTCTTGAATCACCTTATTATTCCAATTATTTATTGTGCGGGGTTTTGGGGTTTTGGGG